TCAAGCCTTACTGTCATATCCCACCCCCAGGCTGAAATGAGCTTTTCCAAGAGAAAGAAAAAGAGTGCAGACATTCAAGCAGACACCCAACGGCTCTCCAGCATGACCCTTCTCTAAAACACGCTAAGAATCAGCTGCATTGCAGAATTGTTCTGGTTTTACAAACGTGTGGATGGAGATATGCAGTCGCTACTTTTCTTTTCACTGCCTTGTTCCTACAGTGACAAGTAGCTCCAAAATTTTTAAGGATGGAGCTCCCTGTCTTAGGGATTTTATAAAGTTTTACATAGAATATATAGAGAACTGTATTTGTAACTCTTTGTCCTATTTCCCAATCAGAGCCAGGCCAGCTCAATGATGTTCTCCAAAAATTTGAAGCATCAGAGGAAAAAATCGTATGAAATAATATTCATTTTTCTAAATATTCTAGGAACAGGAAAAAGGGAGAAAGAATCTTCTCTCACCTGTGACATCAATCTTGAAGGTCAGTTTCTGGCCAGCAGCCTCACAGGTGTACTCCCCAGCATCTTTCTTCTCCACCTGACCCACCACCAGGCGACGCGATTTGCCCTCCGACTCCACCTTGAACTTCTTGCTCGAGGTGATCAGTTTCCCCTCCTTGTACCATTTCACGTCGGTCTTCTCCTGGGCCACCTCGCAGCTCAGCGTGGTGTTTTCTGATAGTGCAGCTTTCACCTCCTTCTGCACCTTCTCCTTGTTTGTAAACACAATTTCTGGCTCTGAAAAGAGAGAATATCAGAGTGTCTCCATGGTGTGATGTTGCGTGATCCTCATACCATGGGTTACATGTAACACTAGAAACCATGCCTCTGACTTGACAATACGTATCTAGGACTATTGGTAGAACATTCAAACTGCTTCATGGTGAGTTTTTGTGTTTCGTTTTTGGTTTTGAGTGCAGACATTGGGCAGACACCCTACCACTCTTCACTATGACCCTACTCTGAAATCCACTGAGAATCAGCCACATTGCAGAGTTGTTCTGGTTGCACCAACATGTGGGGATGGAGATGTGCAATCAGTACTTTCCTGCTCATGGCCCTGTTCCTACAGAGGTGGGGAGCTCCCAAAGGTTTTCAAGGATGCAGCTTCCTATTTTAAGGGTTTTATAATGTTTTACATAGAAGATATACAATAATATCCATTTTTCTAAATATTCCAGAAATAGGAAGGCTGCACCAAAGAATCTTCTCTCACCCGTGACGTCAATCTTGAAGGTCAGTTTCTGGCCAGCAGCCTCACAGGTGTACTCCCCAGCATCTTTCTTCTCCACCTGACACACCACCAGGCGACGTGATTTGCCCTCCGACTCCACCTTGAACTTCTTGCTTGAGGTGATCAGTTTCCCCTCCTTGTACCATTTCACGTCGGTCTTCTCCTGGGCCACCTCGCAGCTCAGTGTGGTGTTTTCTGATAATGCAGCTTTCACCTCTTTCTTCACCCTCTCCTTGTTGACGAAAGCATCTTCTGCCTCTGGATTTAAAGGTACAGGGGCAGATTTAGAAAATTGATCTTCCACACACCCACCCCTTCCCAAATGCACACATTAGTCTTTGGATTGTGGTGGTGAAAACGAATTTGCCATTCATATTCCCTGCCAACACTGTCAACTGAATGTTAACATTTGAATTACATCAAGTGCTGGTGAAAGGCTCCTTTACTGGTAGTCCAAGACAGCTTAGATGGCTCCAAAGTTGCTTTCATTTCCACCACTGTCATTCTCCAAAACCCACAGAAAAGAAGTTCACATATCCCAATGTCCAGCAGCACACCAGTGGACGCAGTCTCTGAGAAGTCTATTTGCTGTAAGAGGACAAGCATTAAATTGTCCAAACCACCCAAGAGCTGTGATTTGCTTTGCCAGCACAAGCAAAGCTAGTCTTGGAAAACAAACTTTAGGAGCCTATTCTGTGTCTATATCTGTATTTCCCAAACGTTCCAAAGATGCACCGTACCAGAACTATGTTTCTCTAACGAATGAAAATTAGCCAACCCCCATGGTATTCGCTTAGCACTGCGCCACGCCAGAATCCAAAAGCAATCTAATGTATGAACTCCTCAATTTTCTTTAAGTTCATCAAGATCCAACTGACGGATATCAAGGTTAAATCCTGTTCATCCTAATGTCATGGTGAAGTGACCTGGTTTCCTCAGCTACAGCTTCTGACTCCAGTTCTAGTATTTCCTCTTAGTTCACAGAGGCCATAATAAAAAGGTTTCCTCCATAATAAAGAGACACATTATTTAAGGAAGGAGCATTCACAAGAGACCACTTGTGCTCAGAAGATTTTCTATGTCCTTTAATTTCTCCGGCAATTATTGAATTCTCATTTTGCTAACAGTGCATCTCCACCATATTCCCAGGGAAATCCCCCAGTGATCTTCAACCTGCCCTGGGCTTGGGCTACGGAAATCCACTGTGTTCTTAGTTTTCAAAGAAGGGAGACAGATCTAACAGCCTGAACACAACCGCATGAGTAAAGCAGCAGAATTTAAATTCTGGCTCCATCACTGCCTGCTGAGATGGAATTTGCCAAGCCACATAACTTTTCTCTCCTTTGAATTTTTCAGGATGCAAACCAGAGATGCCGCAAATTCACTCACCCGTGACGTCAATCTTGAAGGTCAGTTTCTGGCCAGCGGCCTCGCAGGTGTACTCCCCAGCATCTTTCTTCTCCACCTGACCCACCACCAGGCGACGCGATTTGCCCTCCGACTCCACCTTGAACTTCTTGCTCGCGGTGATCAGTTTCCCCTCCTTGTACCATTTCACATCGGTCTTCTCCTGGGCCACCTCGCAGCTCAGTGTGGTGTTCTCCTTCAGCACTGCCTTCACCTCTTTTTGCACTTTGTCTTTGTGTTCAAACACATCATCTGCAAGATTGGAAAGAAGGAAAAATCTGGAAAGAAGCCCATGAAAATTAAAGCTTTGCCTCCAAGATCACATGGTACTGGGTTTTCAGTGGGAGACTAGCTGGTAGATTACAGTTTAAATAAAGCAGCTGTAAAATTAAAAAGGCTAATAGAGGCAGAGTTAAGCATATGCTTGAGGAAGCACTGGTAGGAACAGCTTGCTGCCAGACAGCACAGTTTCTGTCTGCTGCTCATTTGGGCAGCAAGAAGAACTGCCATGCCTGATCTTTAGGCTTACACCACTTTCCTACACACACTCTGCACGGTCGGTCTATGCGAGCCAAGCAGGATGGGCTCTCCTGGGGAAGCAGGGCAGGTCCTGTTCACTCGCAGGAAAGACTGGGCTGCATATTCACAGAAAACAGGACATACTCCAGGCAGGATCTTTCATTTGCCAGCACTGTCCTTATATTTGGGTCCAAGTAATTTTCAGGAAAAAAACGATAAAGTTTGTGAAATAGATGCATAACGACTGGATTACCTTCACAAAGATTTATGGAGTTGTGTCCTTATAGAACAGCATCACTTCCCAGATATATTCTACAGATCACGTGTTACTAATAGTACAAAATCACAGTCATAAACCAATTTAGGTTAGGAGTGATGTTTGGAGGTAATCCAGTCCCACTTCCCCACTCACAGCAGATAAAATTACATTGAGTTACTCGGGGCCATGTTCCATTGAGTTCTGAATACCTCCAGTGATGGAGGTCCCACAGCCTTAAGGCTCCTCTTCCAGAGCTTGACCTCCCTCATGGTGCAAGTCTTTCCTAATATCTTTTCAGAACCTCCCATGTTCCGACTTGTATACTTTGCCTCTTCTCCTATTGCCATGAATCTTTGAGAAGAACGTGGAGCTGTGGACTCCATATCCTCCCACTAGATGGTTGCAGGCTGCAATAAAAGCTCCCTTTTGCCTTCTCCTCTCCAACCTGAACAAATATGACGTGCTCCAGTCCCCTAATCATCTTGGTTGCCTCCGCTGGAGCTGTGCCAGCAGGATCTTGGATTTCCAGATGTAATAGCTGTCAAATTCTCCAATCAGGCAGACAGACATTGAATTAAAAAAAGTAATTTGATTTTAGGGTGGTTTTTTGTAAGTTCCAAGAACATAATTTTAGAAGCTGGGCATGGGAAATAACCCTGGATATAGGGATCATAAGATGATCTAGTCTAAAGCAAATAGAGGAATTAACAAAAATATCTCTCTAACACACTTATTTGGAACTAAAAAATTGTACAAGTTATGATAACTGATTAAGGAAGAAAAGATAAACAACTTGTTTGAGACTCAATGTGGGACCTGGTATCCTCACACTAAAGTGTTCAGAATCTACATTTTAACTGGTGGAAAAGCAGGAAGGAAAAGATCAGCAAGGCCAGCGAAAAAAAAAAGTGTAACTGCCCTTTAAAATCCTTTAAAAGGTAAAATATAAATAAGGAATGGAGGAAAAGAGAACACTACTGGAAAGCTGTGTCTCTGCGGTCAGGAACTGTAGTAATAAAGCAAGATTTGCCAAAAGTCAGGCTGGATCCGAGCTGATGAAGGAGGTTGAGACACCGAGCAAAGGGTACTCTAGCAGCAGAAATACATGCAGACAAGGGAAGAAGTGGGGCCATGATGCAAAGTGTGTTTCATGTTTTGGAGCTCTTTGTATCACTCTTCTGAAGAAAACAAGCCAGTGTTCCTAGAAAGTGTTCTCCTACAGGATAATTTATTCATTTTGGCTCTTACCCTCACTTTAGGTATTTTTTCCTCATAACCCTTTCAAGCAAGACAGAGGCAAGGAAGATGGGAAACGAAGCACTGGGTACCATTTTCCACCAAAATAACTAGCAGCAAGGACAGAAATGTATGCTTTGATGATTCACCAGCATACACAAACTACTGGCTACTGATGTGAATTCACACTTGAAATTTATATGTTGTGCAATTCCCTCATGAAGTCATATTGGCAAATTCTCTCAGCAAAGCCACGTCTTGTATAGATGTGGTAGAAAAACTCTGTCCCAGTAAAGATGGAAACTACAGATTCTTAGAGTGGAACTACAGACTCCTAAAGCATGGAAGGGTTGTTGTATGCTTGTCTTGTTCTTTCATCATTTTTCTTAATAACCATTCCTGGTCAAAAATCGGGAAAAGAATATCAGCCAAAGTGGACTTTCCTCTTTCTCAAAGCATCCAAACACATGTCCTTAATATTAAACTTTAAGAATAATCACTTAAGTTCTGTTGCAGACCCATATAAGCCAAGGCTGGAAGTAAGTCTATGTCACTAGGAAACTTTACAGATACAGCAAAAAGATGTGTAATCTGATAATCCCTCACCTGTGACATCAATTTTGAAGGTCAGTTTCTGGCCAGCAGCCTCGCAGGTGTACTCCCCAGCATCTTTCTTCTCCACCTGACCCACCACCAGGCGACGCGATTTGCCCTCCGACTCCACCTTGAACTTCTTGCTCGAGGTGATCAGTTTCCCCTCCTTGTACCATTTCACGTCGGTCTTCTCCTGGGCCACCTCGCAGCTCAGCGTGGCGTTTTCTGCTAGTGCAGCTTTCACCTCTTTCTTCACTTTGTCCTTGTTGACAAACGCATCTTCTGCTTCTGTAGGGTGGGAGAAGACATTTCAAAATCACAGGTATACTCACACTGTCCAAAATGTTCACAACAAAATGCTAAATCCTGCTTATGAGACCTTCCTATAGCTCACTTGTTTTGGAATGGTTCCACTCACAGCTAAGATACACTCAGACAGGAAGTGACCCTCTGGACAGCCCGAGGACACCACATCAGCCATTTATGAGCAAAATGAAGAAATGCCCCAGGAGTTAAGGTTCTTCCCATCCCCATGGATCCACAAGAAATATGACTTTTTGTTCCTTAATGTAATGCACATGTAAAGAACCCAATCTCTACTGCCACTGGGACTCCAGTGTAAGCCTTGACCACTCAAGGTACTTCCAGACCTTTTATCCCCCACATATGGGAGTTGACCCTACCTTTATCCATATAAATCCCAACAGAATATGTAAACTCATTTAATTTTTCTTTACTCTGAAGTTACAAAAGAACAGGAACTGCTGAGTGGGATTCAGGTCACAGGTGAATTGGAACATCTCTCCTATGGAGAAAGGCTTAGGGACTTGGGTCTCTTTAGTCTAGAGAAAAGAAGATTGAGGGGGATCTTATTAATGCTTACAAATACTTAATGGGAGGATGCCAGGGGGATGGGAGCAGTCTTTTTTCAGTGGCGCCCAGTGATAGGACGAGGGGTAATGGGCATAAACTTGAACATAGGAAGTTCCATCTTAACATGAGGAGGAACTTCTTTACTTTGAGGGTAGTGGAGCACTGGAACAGGCTGCCCAGAGAGGTGGTGGAGTCTCCCACTCTGGAGACATTCAAAACTCGCCTGGACGCTGTCCTGTGCAACCTGCTGTAGGTGACCCTGCTCTGGCAGGGGGGTTGGACTAGATGATCTCCAGAGGTCCCTTCCAACCCTAACCATTCTGTGATTCTGTGAAGACATCTGCCTGTAGACATCTGTGTGACAATGGATGCACACAAGCTGGTGCCCTGACCTCCCTCACTACTCAATGAACATCTACGCTACACAGACCCTGGAGCCCGGACAGGGACTGATTTTGCTCAGTCATAAAGGGAAGTCCTGGACCTTTCTGTGATGAGGATGAGCATACCCTTACTACAAGAAAGACTTTGAGGTGCTGGAGCGCATCCAGAGAAGGGCAACAAAACTGGTGAGGGGTCTGGAGCACAAGTCTTATGAGGAGTGGCTGAGGGAACTGGGGGTGTTCAGCCTGGAGAAAAGGAGGCTGAGGGGAGACCTTATCGCTCTGTACAACTACCTGAAAGGAGGGTGTAGCGACATAGGGGTTGGTGTCTTCTCCCAAGTAACAGGCAACAGGACATGAGGAAATGGCCTCAAGTTGTGCCAGGGGAGGTTTAGATTAGATATTGGGAAAAACTTCACAGAAAGGGTTATCAAACATTGGAACAGGCTGCCGAGGTAAGTGGTGAAGTCACCATCCCTGGAGATATTTAAGACAGGCAAATGTGGTGCAGAGTTTAGTGGTAACTTGGAAATGATGCGTTAATGGTTGGACTTGATGATTTTAAAGGTTCCTTCCAACCAAAACGATTCTACAATTCTATAATCTCCCACCTGTGACATCAATCTTGAAGGTCAGTTTCTGGCCAGCGGCCTCGCAGGTGTACTCCCCAGCATCTTTCTTCTCCACCTGACACACCACCAGGCGACGCGATTTGCCCTCTGACTCCACCTTGAACTTCTTGCTCGAGGTGATCAGTTTCCCCTCCTTGTACCATTTCACGTCGGTCTTCTCCTGGGCCACCTCGCAGCTCAGCGTGGCGTTTTCTGCTAGTGCAGCTTTCACCTCTTTCTGCACCTTCTTTTTGTTGACAAATGCATCTTCTGCCTCTGAAATAGGGAAACATTTGGGGGGGGGAAGATATAAATAGCTTTCGACAAGAAGATACTACGTGTATTCTGCATAGGTGCTCTACAGGATAATTTCTTGTAAGTCACATTACTTTGCAGTTCTTTTTATCACATAGAACAATGCACCCTCAAAACACAGTCCATATAATTATCATACCTCTCTAACTAGTCTTCACGAACAGCTCCAGCACCTCATTTTCAAATTTCTTATAATGAAGACAAAGATAAATTTCTCCCTTTGTGTCTTTATATTGCTACACCCCACATTTGGAACTAGCCAAATATACCACAGTTATGAGTTGCCACCTTCACTATCATATTATTTACAGGAATTTGCCAGCATCTTAATATTTTGGATTAAGAATGGGAGTTGTTCAGAAGGTATCTTGTAACTCAATTTCAAAAAAATAGTTCTTAATATGGAAAAGTACTTGGCCTACGTTATACATAAAACTGGCCTATAAAATTTGAATATATTTTTTTTTTTCCATGAAAATCTAATTTTTCAGAAAACTGGCCGTAAGGAATCTTCTCTTAACACAAGCAACAAGACCGAAGTGTTTAAAGTCACTTTCTTCCACAGCACTACTTAGAACTTCCATCTCAACAAGTGCAGTTGGCATCAAAAGAATACCTTGTGTAATTAGTGGTTAGTTATATGCATTGAAAAGATTCAGCTGTCACCTTGCTAAGTAGGACTGACTGATAAATTGCATCTTTTATCAATTACTTTAATGATTGTTTTACCTGGTTCTCCTTTTACCAGCAACTGGCGTGGTCACCGTTAGCTTTTATATTAGTGTACATGTGAGATGTGGGAGGACAGGTAGACTCTAAATAAATGGGCTTCTGCTTTTTTCCCCCCACTGATTTACCTTAAGAAATAACTGCATAAGAAGTGTAAAATATTTCTGGTATGCCTACGTGATTGACATCACACAGCAACAACCGCCCAGCATTTAGCACAGGCTGCCTTTGCCTATTTGGGTCCCAGGTACGTACTTGAGCGTTGAAGTCCATGATTTCACTGCTAGAGAAGCAAAAGCTCCAAAGATAAACACTGGACTAGCAAGTGTATTGCGTTGCCACTGACCTTCAGTTGCAGCGCAAGCATGGAAGATAATTCATCCACCCAGCTTCAAGCACCTGGGTTACCTGGTTAAGGTGACCTGGGAGGTTCCTGGTTTTCCCTGGCAGTGATGGTGAACCCCTTCATGGAATCACAGCATGGTCAGAGTTGGACCTTCAGAGATCACCTAGTCCAAGCCCCCTGCTAAAGCAGGGTCACCCAGAGCAGGTTGCACAGGAAAGCATCCAGGAGGGTTTTGAATATCTCCAGAGAAGGAGACTCCACAGCCTCTCTGGGCAGCCTGTGCCAGTGCTCTGCCATCCCCAAAGGAAAGAAGCTTTTCCTCATGTTGAGATGCCATTTCCTGTGTTCCAGTTTATGCCCATTGCCCCTTGTCCTGTCACTGGGCACCACTGAAAAGAGCCTGGACCCATCCTCTTGGCACCCGCCCTTTAGATATTGATCAGCATTGACGAGATCCCCTCTCACTCTTCTCTTCTCCAGGCTGAACAGACCCAGGGCTGTCATCCTTTCCTCATCAGAGAGATGCTCCAGTCCCCTGAGTATCTTCATAGCCCTCTGCTGGAATCTCTCCAGTAGTGGGGAGCCCAGAACTGGACACAGTACTCCAGATGTGGCCTCACCAGGGCAGAGCAGAGCGAGGAGGATGACCTCCCTTGACCTGCTGGCCACACTCTTTTTAATGCACCCCAGGAGACCATTGGCCTTCTTGGCCACCAGGGCACATTGCACTTCCATAACCTGTCCTTCTGCCTTCCTCCACCTCAGTGACTCCCTGCAGCCTCCTAGTGCCATCCTTTACTCCTCCTTGATGACTTTCTCCTCTGCATACCATCTCAGTCATGTCTGTACTCTGAGTGGCAGCAGCTGCCTGGGAGGACAAGGAGCAGGGGTAAGTTCAGGTCAAGTTCCTACACTGCTGACCACGGCACTACACGCAATCCTGGGATCCACAGCACAGGCTTGGATCAATATTGCACAGTCCATGGAAAGAGAGAGATCCTACAGGGAGCAAGCCGAAGCAGGAACCCAGCTTACACACTCTAAATTTGAGCTCCTCTGTTTATATTGGCTGTAGAAGGCGGGTAAGGGGGTGTCATTAACGTTTCGTTAACAAGGCAGCAGACATGGTGTACGCTGGGCGATGCAGAGCTCCTCAAAGGCACACGTCAGCCCACTTGCAGGTTAAGCAGCGCTTTAATAGCTAGAAGAGCTCAAGCACACACCACGGTTTGCATTCAAAACCGGTTGCAAAAATACAAATGTTTCAACTTCCATCTACAACTTGGATTGTGAACAAGCAGAGTGCGCTACACAAACGAGTTACAAACCATTTTGTGTAAATGGGTTCTGTATTTAAAATTTTAAGTTAACAGGGCAGGAATATTCCACATGCTCGCTTGTCCTCTGCATTCTTGCCCTTTAATATCAAACATTTTTATAGTAATAGAAAATGTGACCAAATCTTTTAATCAGCTTACGAAGTGATTTACGTCAGCCAGTAATTTGTCTTAGAAACTTATTTTGAAGTTAAACAAGTACTCCGATGACATTTCCAACCTCAGCTGCAGTTGGTTAGCGATGTTGCATTGGAACTGAGGAAAACCTTTTTCAGGACACGGAGGTTTGGTCCCCTATAAATAAGGATTTGACTGCATACCATGAATCTTGAAATAATGAGATTGAAGAGTCAGCTCTTTTGGCTACACGTCTAGCCCAGTCCCAAGGTCTGCAGCACCTGGTTCCGTTAATACTAAGCCAAAAAGCCATAGCTGCATCACAATACTCAACACTGAGCATCTAACCTTCAAGCTGTCCTTAAATAGGGACGGTTTTGTGCTACGAGCAGAGCCCTGGAGTACAGGAACCCTGAAAACCTTTCCGAGTGCAATGGTAACAGGATAAATTAAGACTCAGAAAGCCACTGCACTTTGGGATAATCTAGTAAGATGAGGATTTCTGCAGCGAAAGAGCCAACCACTCAGAGTACTCATAATCCCTCCTGACTTTCACACTAGATCATTTTCCCGTGAGTGCAGGACTTGCTTGTCATGTTACAGTTGTACACAGGAGAAATACAGCAACGGTAGCTAGGCAAGCACTCTCCGCTTACAACAGAGAGGGAAAGGTGTTACATTACCCTGTGCAGCCCTGAAGTCATCCGGTTTGAGAGAGAACTGAAAACCTTTGGTTTCTGAGGCAGACAGCTAAGAATAGCCCTCAGCTAGAGAAATTCAAGTGTAAAAGCACTAAACTTCTGCGTTTTCTCTGCAGTAATGTATGAACTGATTTCAGCAGCTGAGCATGAATTTGGTTTATACCAATCCGTGCCGTGGTCTTTCTGTCAAGGTCCATGTGCTATTTTCTCTGAAAGACGCCTCTGGAATCTAGCTTTACTGTGATCCATCCATCATTGAAACTGGCAGTTCCCCGAGCAAAAAGCATGAGCTACATAATTTATGAAGAAGAGCCGAAGTGCCCCAACTCACACCCTGTGTGCCTCACGCAGAGTGGAGACACATAACAGCTGATGGCTTACAATATATGCTATCGGGAACAGCAAAGCTTTATGCTACAGCAGCAGTTGTACATAGAAGACAGAGGGAGCAGGATGCCCCAAGACAGTGGGAGAGCAGTAAAGACTGCAACCTTTCCAACGGAACAGCACGCGAGCTATGCCCAGCAAGGACTTCAGGTCTCCAGCAGGAAAGTCAATAGACTCCCAACGCAGTTGCTCTGCCACATAACTGATTAAATGCCAGACCTCTGCCAGCATTATGGTCCCAGTAAGTTTGACGCCGTAAGAAAGCAGAGGAGAAAACAGATTCCTTGTTCTGATCAGCTCAGAATGTGAGGCAAGAAGTGTAATGTTAACAGAGAGGGATTTGGCTGCAAAGACAGCGAAGCATTATGGATATGAAGAAAGCAAAACCAAACCCTTTCTTACCATCCAATTCAGAAATGATCACCCAGAATGCAGCTGACACATCCATGGCTGCCTAGAGCTCGAGATAAAATTTACTGGACCTCTTGCAAAATATACTGAGACCAAAGAAATCTCCAGTGTAGTCAGAGTGAAAGAAGAGACTCAGTATTGAATCAGGTTGTTAAGGAGAAAAACGCAAATATAAATAAACATTCCAAGACTCCTGACTGATCGTTACAGTTGTAGAACTTGAAATGAGCCGTCATCTGAAATTTTTAGGACAATGTGCTACCATTTACTCCCAAACCTTCTCAATGCAGCCACAATAAAGTAGGGATTGTATAAACACTACTGTTTAAATACCGCTTGGTAGGCAAGCATTTGCACCACTTCTCATCGCTTTACAAATCACAGCTGCTAATGAAAGATGTCGTAGGGAAAGAGCTGGATGAAAAGTTGTTAAATACAAATCATAATTCGAGTTGCACATATCTGTGTCTATTTCTGTTCATCACCCACAAAAGTTTCAGGGTGCACGGAGTTATGAGGCTGTGTTCACACATATGTCTGCACAGTCAGACTGTGAAGTGATTTCCTGGTTTAGAGGAGGACACGTAGAGGAAAGATGAATTGAAGGGGGAAGAAAACTGAGACTTTTGTGAATGACTAGCAATTGTTGAGGAGGAATAGCAACACTGATGATCAAATTGGAAGAGGTCCTTTAGCACAGTCCCCAATAACAAGAACTCTTGATTTGCTATTGGAGCCTAAGGAACCGAACAGGGAGTTGAGGAGCTGATATGAGGATACCTACAGGTAACCAGTAGATGTACCCAGCCCTACATAACCTTGCTGAAATGGTACTTTCTGATGTTGGTCTAACAGCATTTCTAATATTTTGACAGAGAAAACAGGAGAAGACACCCAGACACAAAGAAAAGGCAATGAAATATAAACCAAAAAATGTCTCCCACCTGTGACATCAATCTTGAAGGTCAGTTTCTGGCCAGCGGCCTCGCAGGTGTACTCCCCAGCATCTTTCTTCTCCACCTGACACACCACCAGGCGACGCGATTTGCCCTCCGACTCCACCTTGAATTTCTTGCTCGAGGTGATCAGTTTCCCCTCCTTGTACCATTTCACGTCGGTCTTCTCCTGGGCCACCTCGCAGCTCAGTGTGGCGTTTTCTGCTAGTGCAGCTTTCACCTCTTTCTTCACTTTGTCCTTGTTGACAAATGCATCCTCTGCTTCTGTAGGGTGGGAGAAACCATATAGAAACCACATATATGTTCGCTCTGCCCAAAGTGTGCAAACCCAAATGAAAAACATGACAAATTCCACAGCTCTGTTATTTCGGAATGGTCACCCCTACAACAAAGGTACACTCAGATGGGACGTGACCCTCTGGACAGCCTGGGGACAACACATCAGCCATTTCTGAGCAAACTGAACCATTGCCCCAGGAGTTAAGGTTCTTCCCATCTCCACAAGAAATCAGACTTTTTCTTCCACAATGTAATGCACAAATAATGTCCCCATCTCATCTGCCACTGGGATCCTTATGTAAGCCTTGCCCAATTTAGGTAGTTCTTGAGCATACCCATTTTCCTGCTTCTTCTGGACCTATTTTCTCACACATCTCAGAGCTGATCTTACCTTTTCCCATACAAATCACAACAGCATGTTTAAACTTGTCTATTTTTTCTTTACTTGGAAATCAGAAAACAGAAGGACTGCTGAGTGGGATTCAGGTCACAGATGAAGACATCTGCCTGTAGACGTTTGTGTGACAATGGATGCACACAAGCTGGTGTCCTGACCTCCCTCACTAGTCAATGAACATCTACGCTACACAGACCCTGGAGCCTGGACAGGGATTGATTTTGCTCTGTTATAAAGGGAAGTCCTGGACCTTTCTGTGATGAGAACGAACAGATCTCCCACCTGTGACAACAATCTTGAAGGTCAATTTCTGGCCAGCAGCCTCGCAGGTGTACTCCCCAGCATCTTTCTTCTCCACCTGACCCACCACCAGGCGACGCGATTTGCCCTCCGACTCCAGCTTGAACTTCTTGCTCGAGGTGATCAGTTTCCCCTCCTTGTACCATTTCACGTCGGTCTTCTCCTGGGCCACCTCGCAGCTCAGCGTGGCGTTCTCTGATAGTGCAGCTTTCACTTCTTTCTGCACCTTCTCCTTGTTTGTAAACACGTCTTCTGTCTCTGTAAGAAAGCCACAATAGTCACACATAGCTTTTTGCAGTTGTCTCCTCCAGTGCTTAATCAAGTTCCCCTATTTCACTATACATGCCCCTGACAGGTACTATCATGATGGCCCATTAAGACATGAAAGCAATTTCATCTCTATTTTGCTGATTGGAGGTGAATAGGTGTATGGGAATTCTGGGATAAAGTCAAAAGCCTCACAATTTCAGCACAGATTTGAACCTGGGAATTAAAGTATCAACAAGTGCTGCCTGAACCCTCCTTCTTCTTCTCTTTTTTCCCCTTCCTGTGCCTCTCCAAGCTTCCAGTGAATCAGAAGGGAACAGTTCTTGTATCTTCATAGCCAGGAACCCTTACTCTTTTGCTATTCAGGTCACTCAAGTTCAATCATTCTCCATCTAATCAGAGCTCTTCAAACACCTCCCAGTCCCTTTTTACTTATCCCTGCACCTCTGCTATGGCTCACATTGTGGTTCTGCAGGAGTTTTTCTGCAGACACATCAGCTAATTGTGAGAGGTGAAGAAGTTACCATCCTTGTCCATCATTTTTTTTGTGGTAACAACTAGTCATGGATGTGAAAGTGTGTGTATAAAGTGTTGATATGACAGTTGGCTGAAAATCAAGTACTACAGCTGAAGTATTTCACCCCAGAGAGGTTGTGAGATGATCCTCCAAATGCAAGATACGACCCAAAATGGAATATTCCTTTATCTTGGGCATTTCTAGCATTTTCTCACCTCTGACTTTGACTTGGAATGTTGTTCTATCATCCTTCGTTTCACAGGTGTAGCTCCCTTGGTCTTGTTGTGTCACCTTCTTGATGATGAGCTTGCGGTGTGTCCCCTGGGAGATGACTGTTGTCCTCTGGTCCTGTTTCACCTCAGTTTGATCTTTCTTCCATACCACGGCTCCGCTCGCAGCTGACACCTCACACACCAGCTCAAGGTTTTCAGAAGGACTGACCAATATTTCTGGAGTTGTTTTGGGCTTGTTGACAAAATTAACAGCTTCATCTGGAAAGAAAAAGAGAAAGCAGTTTCTGACTTGATTCAGGTTTATCAGCACAATATTAAGATATGGTAATGACTGGTCATTATGCCATTGTTACTCATACTCGGGTGGATCAAGTTTCACTTCTGGAGGTATAAACGTACCTGTGTGTGCACGGTACGACTGCAACATAACTATGACAGAGTGTTAACAGTTATGGCAATAAACTGCGGTTATGGGTCAGAATAGTCCCTCTGGAGATACAGCAGTGTTCTTTCTACTGGAGAACTCATTGTCCAAGTTATAAATCATCCAGAGAGTTCGTACATAATGGTCGCCAGTTTGGGAGCTGGGTACTGATGAATCATTTATACTATATCAGCCTATTAGGTCTACGCACTGTGGCATTAATACCAGTCTTATTAAATTCTAGATAGATGTGGATCTATGCCTACCTGGATTCATGACCAAAATCCAACTAACTGATGCGCATTCATTTTCTGCCGCCCTTTCAGAAGTCAGGCATGAAAACTCTTACAGAGCACAGACAAGGTAGTTTCTATTACCAGAGCCATGAGCCGAACCTGGCCCAACATCATGAGACCATAAAGCCTGACGTGTGCTTGAATTCACAGCTCCTGTCTGATCACACACAAGAATATTAATGCCCAACATTCTGACAGATGGTGCAAACTCCTTCTCTGATCTTCAGATAATTGCTCTCAGTTACAGTGCAATCACATTCATCTCTCCTACATCCTCCTGGATCTTTTCAATCAAGTTGAGCTGAGATGCCCTCAAGTTGCTGATACTTTAATCACCACTCCTTGTTTCTGATTTCAGTCAAGCTCTCGGGAATATGTATTGATGCCTGAGTACACCACCAGCTTTGAAAAGACCAAAGAAGTCTCAGAAAATCTTATCGGGAGTGATGAGAAGCCTTCTTTAAATATTTCTGAGCCCATTCCTGCAGCCCCATGTTCAAAATATCAGTCCCACTGGACTAACTCTTCCCCAGACCAGATCAGGGTACATATAGGATAATCTCATTGAGAAGATATTCTCCAACTTCAAGAGGACTAAGTTAATATATTGAGCCAATAGTGTCACATCTTTCTGCTGAAACTGATCCTCACAGTAAAGAGCTCACAACTGCTCACAACTCGTATAGCTCAAGCGGAAGACGTTCCTGCTTCGATACCTCAGCTCAGACTCTGCTGACTGGTGGCCACACGTATAAGCGTGTGTCATGTATGCAGCAACAATAACGCATTTTTATCAACTCAGGGTTTTTGCAAGTGTATTTCTAGGGGTAAAAATGAAGGCAACTAGGCAGGGACAGGCACCTTGCGTGTAAAACATGAGCAAACCTATCCAACACACCCCATCCCTAAGCTAACGAGCCATATTTGATGAGCATGTCAGGTATTTCATACCCATCGCTCCAACAGGCCAGCCCTTGCCTGAAGAGCAAGCTGATGGCTGTCAGTTATAACCAACCTTAGCGTAGTGTTGCATTTCTTTTAGAAGAAGCAACTGTTGTTTTCAGTCACTGAGTATCCCAAGGACAATTGCTATGCTACGCCCGTGCCAGGCACGTCTGTGGCATCACAGAACATATATTTAATTAAAAATAATAATCATTAGGACTGATCTATTTTTAAAAGCTTAGATGACCAAGGAGGGACAGTCCCTCCAGAGTTCTGCAGTTCAAGATTATTGGGGTAACTCATCAGCATAAAGACAGATTACTTCCCTGCCTTAAGGCCACCCCCTGACTGTGCAGTGCTTCTTAGCACTCTGGAAACATTTTATGGTGACACATGAAACCAGGTGGAAGTTGCTGTAGCTAAGGTTTTGTTAACACGCTGTAACTCAACCCTTGTTCACCCAAAAGTTCATGGAGATGCACAGTTACTTAGCAGATACCAGTCGTCTTGGTCGGAGCCATGGGACGTTTTGTCACAGGAGTTACAGGTGAGATTCACCTCAACTACACGTGGTCATCAAACAGGCATCCAGTCTCGGGTCATTATGTAGGCTTCCTCTGTACTTGATGTTCAGACAAAGGCAGCTCCAAAACACTTTTAAAATCCATCTTAGTGCTCATCAGACAGCATAAAGCAGATGGTATAAATTGCCTTTTGGGGTCACCCTTCACTCCGCATCATTCAGTTTGGATAGAGCCTGGTTGGCTCTTTTAGACCAATTTTTCAATGGGTGAAGTCAGGGACTACAGATTACACTCAAAGTGAAATTGCATAATGTTGGATTCTCAGCCAAAGAGAAGTGGAGGCAGAGTGAATACCTGAGCAAACACCAGTTGTGAACCGGAAGCAAACTTTCTAGCTCAGTAAACCCTGTAGCAATCGCTCAAGACTAGTGCTGTGCTAGATTAATCGGTGCTGCTGAGCTTTTAATTAGCTGATGGACAGCATCACAGTGACATGGATGGTCTGTTACAGGTGACAAGCACTCAGTTGTTACTTCTCTTAAATTGCATTTCAGTGCTGCAGGTAGACACACCATGAGAAGCTTTCAGCAGAGTTTCAATTTGTAACTTAGGACTGGGTTAAAAATTAGTCTCCACACATAAGTCAGAGAACCACTTTTAGAAGAAAGGTTCCCACCAGGCTATGCAAATTGAATGGGTTGAATTTCACAGGTATTGAATTTCACAGATAAATTCTTGTGTCATTTTATACTCTGGCTTCATCCTGGACTGGAACGCGTCAGCGACAAGCATTTCTGTTCTGGGCTTGACCTGACAGCCACGTGCTTTAGCACGTGCTTTATTCTGATGGGCATGTGCCATCAACTAATGATTCTCTTACAGTACCGCAGGGAGATGTCTCAGCGATCACAGTGTCCTTTGGGAACAGGAGGAGAGGCTTAACTCTCAAAATCAGGAGTTAGACTTGTCGCAGGAGGACACAGGGCTTTCACAATAAGACTTTAGGACCACCTCAGTCAGGAGGTATAATGTACACACTGGGGCGAGCCCTGAGCTGAAAGAATAAAGGCCAGCTGCGGCTCCCAGCCCTGTTCAGCCAGCAGGGTGTTTGAGCCAGGACTCCAGCCCTAGTAAAAGCTTGTGCTGACTCGAACACATAACAGCAGCGCTTTATTATTTGCCCATATTGTGGATTTGCATGAGGACCACTGTAAGGGTCAGACTGTCTGAAATAGGGCTGTGCAGTCTTGGCCCTGGCAATTTACAGGGTAAGACAACTATAATGAACAAAGTCCCGAGTTTCTAACACAGACTCTGGTCCTGTATTTGCATTATACTTACCTGAGACTTTTAAATCAAAAATAAGGGTATCATCTCCAATTTTGCATGTGTATGTCCCTTCATCTTCTTTCGTCACAGCTGAAGCCACAAGCTTATGCAGTTTTCCTTTATCTTCCATGGTGAATTTCTTGCTGGCTGTGATTTCTTTGCCATCTTTGTACCACTTAACCATGATGTTGGCCTCAGAGGTCTCAGAAACAAATTCAGCCTGTTTTCCAGAGACAGCCCTGATAACTCCTCCAGTTTTCTCTTTGTTTATGAAGTTTGCAAGTGCTGAAACAAAAATTAGACACACAGTGTTGGTAAAGAATTGCATGGACATCAGTAAATATAGACAACACTTACATCTATTTTAGGTATTATTTTTTCATAAGACCAAATATTTATGTTTAATTATGGATCTAATTACTAGGTTCTAATGCAGAAGCAGCCAAAATCCAACCTTTATAAACCATACACCTGATTATCATACATCCAAAAACCAGAGCACATACAACACAGGAGGCTGAGCCAATGGGAGAGGAAGTCCTAGTCAATAGGGATTAAAGAAAATATCTGGGAGAAGTGAGGAAAGATGTGACACAGGCAAACAGGAGGAAAAGCAATGAAGGCTATTCAATCATTGTATTGTAACCACCTGGCAAATAAATCAACTAAAAAGTAATCTAGATAAATTAAATTATAATAAATTAAAAATCTATACAGATATATCACAGAGGACAGAAATGAAAAGAAATTTATTCCTGGAAATTAACTGGAGCATAGAAGGTAAATCATAAATCTGGCACCATATTAACACATAGTGGAATAATTGAGTCACCAATTGCCTCAAGGCAAAGATTCAAAGACCCACCAGTATCTTACCTAAAAATACGAGCCTAAAACCGGAGTCCTATTTTACTCTAGAGAATGGAATTAATTTTCAAACATCTTCTTAACATATTATTTTAAAACAACACACACAATCAAGTCACTTTGTTGGGACTGTGCAGTCAAAGCTACTAAAATCCAAGCCTTGATTATGTATGTATTTTTTCCCTAATTCCAAGAGCATGCTTGCGCAACACAAATTAATAACTCCCTGCAGAATGCCTGCCAAAAGCAGTTATTAGCTTTCACTGCCGGTACTGCAACAAACAGTTATGGTCCACGCTCTGGACCAGCTAAGTGTGACTCAGACTTTCGCTCCAAAGGTGTTATCATCACTGCTATGTCTGGTGAAGCACACAGGGGTTCCCCTTTCGCTCAGATACCCTACCCACAAGGATGGATTTTGCATTTAGTTTCCTTAGTACGTTAGATTTCTCCAAGCCTGCAGTAGCACTTTTAATTACAGACAAATATTTGATAGGGAACCGATATTCACTGGCTTCTACAGTGGCAGAGTCTGGAGACCTAAAGATGAAGAGTGAGTTGATTTGCCAAGCAGTACACAGGTAAGAAAGAAAAAGAAAACCCCAGTCTCAAATCTCCCCCGATCTAAGACTAAGAAATACCCAATGAGCAAACAAACAAGGAAAGCGATGGGAAGGACGTGATGGTGCAGCCGAGGGCCTCTCCAATTCTCATTTTCAAGGGACTCTGTTCAATCACCAGCTTCTGGCAGAGACAGGAGGTTGTGTTCGACCTCTCCACAACCCTACTGGCCCAATTTTCTAGGGTTTACTAAGGCTGCTTATTAGAAGCACTGTCTATGGGTAAAGAAGTCATATCAGAAGCATTTAAACCAGGGAAAATCTCTTTTTTAAATTGTTTTTTCTTGGAACCCGCTGTTTCCACTTGTTTCTTTAATGACTCACAATGGTGGAGCTTTCCCTTCAGTAGGGCTTCTCCTCTACCCAACCACCTACGCCCATGAAGCCTGCAGGGGCCAAACACTGCTCAGCCTTCTCCTTCTCCACCAGCATTACTGGAACTCAGCCCACAGGTTAAAAGTTTTGGGAAGGAGAAGAGAGAGATCAGTTCATTCATGCACCTTTCACTTCCCTGGAAAACTAGAGTGAAAAATACAACCACCGCAGTCTGAAGGAGACTTCTCAGATGTCGCGTTTCGACGCAGGAGGTCACGTGTCAGAGGATGCCTGGCACGTGAAGTCTCATGGCAGCGGAGGGACTGCAGTGATAAATGGCAAGTGCATTTTCTAGCGGGGCAATTTTGGGCAGGAGGCCCAGCGAGTGACACGCCTCTGGCCGTGGCTCAGCGTGGTGGCCTCTCGGCAGCCAGGTGATGCCCACGTGCCAGAGGCAGCTGACCTACACATCAAACGATTCACCAGCTAGCTGTGCCGGATTTACAGGAGGAACAGATAAAAAGTGGCAATGCTGAAAGGTAAAATACTGGAATGGCATTTCTGAGCCTCATCCTACAAGGATGAGATAGATCAGAGCTGGTTCTCCGGGAATCAAGCTACCAACAGCAGATGTTTAACTTACAGCTTGTCAACACAGATTATAAAATAATAGCATTGATTACGCCTTTGATAGTCACGTTACAGTAAAAAGCACATGGAAACGTCCATCAGCTAATTCAATCAAATCTGTGGGAAGATCTGCCAGTGTGAAAAATTATGCTAAAGAGGCAGAGAGAGAGAGAGAGAGAGAGAGAAAGAAAAGAAAACTCAAATTAAGAACAGCTGCCAAGTGTAGACAGCAAATTCCTCCCTCCATAAATGTAGTCACATTTTGTAATTATTTCTTTCAGCTCTCTTCGTGCCTCTTTTGAGTTTGCTCTTTGAGAATAACCAAGCAAGCAAGTCATCAAATGCAAAATACATGCATTGCTCTGGGGCTTTGTTGTTTCTACAGAAACCAAGCAGGGCGAGAAGCCAGCAGAATAAGATGGTGAAGCACCTCACAGATACTCAGTGTAGAACCAGTGCGATCATTGCTGGGGAGAAGGTGAGGGGTGAGTTATGGAACAGAATACAGAAATCAAACGGCTCTACAAAGTGAACTTGGCAGTTCAAAGCAGAATAGCTACAGAGCTCACCCCAGACTATGTCTGACAACAGGCTGGACTGTCCTGGAGTCAGGTTGTATACTCTGAACCTCAGCAGACATCTAGATAATACTCAGTAGGAATGGTATGGGGATACAATGGGGCTTTTTAGCCAAAACCTGCTCCCACCCAAGGCAGAGGAAACTCTCCTATGAACTAGTTCATAAAAGCTTGCACAGATGGGAGGGCGTGCGAGAAGGAGGTTTAACACTGTTGGTTTCAGGGTAAAGGTTCAAGACTCCATGTCTCGCTCTGGGGGTGGATGTGCCCCCCCAGCTGGTGGCAGGTGATCAGGAGGGAAGGGACTGCCATGAAAGCAGGAACAGCCGAACTACAGGGCAGCTACAAAACAGTGCTGGTTCAAATCTAACAAGCAGGAAACATTAAGAGAATGACATTACGCTGCTTGTCCTATACAGCCTTCCATCTGAATATCTTGCAAATAGCAATGAGTCAAGTCATCCAACGTGACCTGAAAAGGTCTTATTCACCAAGGTATTGACAGAGAAGAAAAAAAAACCAAAACCACAAACTTACAAAAAAAAAAAAAATCCACAAGGCCAAGATGATCTTGGTCCATCCAGACTTCAATCAGAGCTGAAGTAGCTCCTCAGTGACTCATCCGATATCACACAGCAAGTAAAGGGCAGACCTGGGACCACGTGCATCATGTCCTGCCCCTGTGGCTGCATCTCTTCATCACGAGAGCAACTTTTCACTACCCATCATCAATCTCATGAAACAACAAGATGTCAGTGTGAGTGACAGCACAGCTCTTACCGCTGAGATGGTGTTAGATCCTAAGTTTACTCCCAAGTTCTCCTACTCTGGGACTACAGACACTCTCAGCACTAGATGTTGATGAAGAGTTACCACAACTCCACGCGCCACGTCTGGAGCGTTCCCTTTCTGTCCCTTGATGACTCTACCGGCTTAGGGTAGGAGCAGGACATTAACGCAAAGCAGCCCAGGCAGCCACATACCTTTTACTGAAAGCTGATAGAGCATTCTATCCCCTTCACAGGTGCACTCATACACTCCAGCATCCTCTGCTGCAGTGTTGCGGATTTTCAGGATGTGCCTCTTCCCCACAGTTTGAAGTTCGTATTTTTCACTGGCCTTGAGCTCTTTCCCATCCTTCATCCACTTCACAGTAGCCTCTGCTTCTGAAAGCTCAGCCTGAAGTTTGGCGTCCTCCCGCAGCCGAGCAGAGACCTTTTCTATATCTCTGCTCTTGTTAGTAAATCTCACTGCAGCACCTGTCAGGAACAAAGGCTTCATTATTTCAAGTTATATCAAGATAACACGTCCCTGATACATGCTTCTGCAGAGATTTTCACCCAAAGTCAAGCAAAATTAATGTCCTTCCATTACCTCTTGCCATGCAATGTGGGTAGATACAGATGTTATCCTCACTTCATAGAGGAAGGCTGGAGCACCCAACCCTCAATGCTAAACTGAGTTACATCATACCAACTTTTACATCACACACATCTATGGCAGACTCAAAAACCTCCAAGGAAAACAACTCTTATTAATTAGTGCTCCTTTACTTTTGAATGTCACCATCCCAATAAGAAAGACTAGCCAAACCTGGAGCTGAAATTCCTCCTCTGAGGTGACTCAGTGGTAGATCTGGTGACAGAGTCCACTCACTGATGGTTGTGAACTACAGAAATTCACGTGCTGATGTCAAGCAGTCTGGTTCGGATACCAACCAGCTCGTTAGACCCACAGATTCACTCTGAACTATGTGCTACCATGGTGAGGTCATTACCAGGACCCACATTAATTCACATGATGCAATTTCAGGTACTTCCTTCATCAGTGGAAGCCTCCGGCCCCAGTTCTAATCATCACATCACAGCGACGGGCCCTTGACTGGAAGGAAGAAGGACAGTGATCAAACTAAATACCTTTCACTCTCATCTTGGTGCTGGTGTCAACGTTATTTGCAACAAATTTTACTTCTGCTCCATCATCGTTCTTGGTGACGTTCTTTATGATTAGGGTGTGAGTAGTTTGGGTTCTCTTAATGATGTAGGTCTCACTTTCCTGTAAGACTTTACCATTAAGGTACCAAGTGCCGGAACACGTTGTCGTGAGGTCAACAGTAAAGAGGGCATCCCCTCCAGGTACAGCTTCAACAGTTGTCAGGGGCGTTTTCACTGCCAGGACAGGTTCTAGGCAAGAACAACACATATTTGAGACCAAAGGGCACAAGACTGCCACGCTGGAGAATAGTCCTTCCTAAGAATGAAGTTCTTGGGGTAAACAAAACATGAGAATAAAATCCTGCAGCCTTATACGATTTGTGTGCACTGAAGGCAGGTCAGCAGGATTTGATTTCTACAGCTGCGGGTAACTACGCTCTGACATTAAGGTGAGTCCTCTTTCTACAGCAAAAGAACAACAGACATATTTTACTGATTTTTCCCCCTAAGATGTTTAAAGGCATAACAAGCCTGAAACACCTAGGTTCCCCAACAAGTGTGCTATTTATTTAATAACCAGTATTATTCTTAGATTTCAGAAGGATCCTAAGAAGGCCACCCAGGCTGCTAGTCACTTCTAGATATTCTAGGAAAACACAGGCATGTTCGGATAGCTGGAGGAAAAAGATGACACAATAACAAAACATGGTATGATCAAAGTCTGTGCAAATATTGTCCAGTGCAATGAAGCGAAGGAAGAAGCAATCCCATTGCACACTATGATTCTACGGGCTCGTTGGCACCCTAGAAATAAAGTAAAAACCCCACATTTTGCCTAGACACTCTAAGATAAAAGAAAGGCTGACTAGAACTTGGTTTTCACGACAGTATGATCACCCATAAAGGGCATAAACTTGCACCCTAGGTGCAAGTTCGATATCTCATTTATATATTGAAAATTATAAGACCACCTCAATTTTTCATTTCGTACCAGGTCGAGAAGAAAAGTTTAGACGTTTAAGGTCCACTGCAGAGAGCTCTGCCTCTCACACAGCCTGATGTGAGATATTGGAATATCTCACACCTCTATCACAGAAACCCAACCACCACCACTTTTGCGATGGTCAGTGGTCGAAATGAGACAGGAGAACTAGCAGTGAAGGGAAAAAGGTTTTGCTGTGCACTTACTCTACCCTCTTCAAAGTCACAGGAAACAACTTTAGGGCAGATCAGCACAGACTGACCCATTATATGACGGTTTTGTGCTCACCAAGGTGCACACTCCCTGGGAACTCCAGGAAGGGGCTCTGTCCGTAGGCGTTGATTGCAGACACCCTGAACTGATAGTCAGCCTCTTCTGACAGGTTGCTCACCGTGAACTCTGGGACAGGGACGTGAGACTCATGGCACCTCACCCAGGTGAAGCCAGTTAGTTTCTTGCGTTCTACGATGTAGCCATCGACTGGAATGGGGCGGTCCATCTTTGGAGGGGACCATGCTAGCGTCACTGAGGTTTCTGTTTTATTTTTCACCACAGGGTCAGCTGGGGGTTGGGTGGGAGGTTTTTTGGGAGCTGCAGAAAGGAAAAAGAAAACCAAACAAATCAAAGAAAGAAGTTTATGTCAGAGTGCAGAAGCCACTGTGCCTCTCTGAAAAAAACCTGGAGCTTGTGCTGGTCTAAATGCTACTCTAGCTTAATAATCCTCCGCAAAGCATTGATGTGAGATGGAAAAGCAAGAAAATGGATAGAAGATGCTTTTGGGGCTGCGTTACACAAAGATGTACAATACTCCTACCTCCACAGCTAAACATATGTGATTTCTACTCAATATTACAACTGCCTGCACAAAGAGTCTACAATGAACAAGGTGTAGGCTTAAGTATTCAGTGCTAGACACAGACCCACACTGCTCCCTATACAGCTCCTGGGTAAAGCAGACTAACACTCAGCTTGTTATTTTCACTCAGAAGATGGGTAAAACCACCATCAGAGGTTGCTCAAAATTCTGCACATGAAATTCCTGTTCCAATTCCTTGTGGTGAATCCAGGAGAAAAAAAAAAAAAGAAAGGCACCAATGGGATGAGTCTGGTGAGGCGGCAGAATTTTGCCCTGCGTCCACCCGCTTACTCGACATCATTGCACAGGGTTAGTTGCACTAATATTTGAAGTGTGCTGGTATTTATCTTCTGTCAGAATTTCAACGATACACATCCCCGCAGTCAGGAACGTAGATACACCGGACAGAACCAATGCGTGGTGAGGCACCATTGCATCAAGAAAGAGCAGGGTGATATTTTGCCACAGACGCAGCATCCTGTGCAGCAGTGGAAATCTGTCTCATAAAAAGCAGCCTGTGCCAGGAGTCTATGCCCTCCATTTCTTCTCAAGAACATATTCCAGATGTACAATTAAACATTTCAGCCCAGATCCGCAGTGGGTTTCAACAAAGAGCAGCTAAACGTTATACAACTGGGACGTTTCAGAGATAAGAGAGAGACATGAATAAACAGCACGTGGGTTTTAGACTCATAGAGATCTCCGTTGCTTGTTGCACAGGTTTGGCCATTTTCTGCAGCTGCTTTCATCTGGATACCTGTCCTCTGTCCTGCTTCTGAATTTTATGTTATCCCCCACCCAGAAGGTCTTTTGTAACTTTGTCGCCCAAGAGCGGTAGCTATCACTGGGGATCTCTCCTTTAATAATTTATGCAGAGCCACATATGGGGGTTGGGGAATTAACTTCAAAAGGAAATGACAAATAAATGTCTCTACCATGAGACCCTACAATCATGGAGATGCGGTTATTTTATGTTACCTGAGATCACAAATGTATCCCTGCAGGTATATGCATAAGGAAGATTCACGTTCACCGTCTCAATCCTCTTGAAACTTTTAGAGAAGGCTAAAATGCTATCAGAGTTATTCACTGTGTTCTGCCACTGATACAGTCAAGAGGCTAGGAATTACCTGATATGCTCTAGTTACACATCTACGTGCACAGTAAAAGATTCGTTTCATTTAATTTTGGCTGTCAGAAAGTTAGGTGTCTGGTTTAAGTCAGTCATCCAGACTCCAACTGTAATCCCATGGAGAACTGCACACTCAGGAGCAATTCATCCCAGCTTAAAGAGGGTGTGTGAGACAGGTTGAAATCAGAATCACAAAATGGTTTGGGTTGGAAGGGACCTTGAAGGTCATCGAGTTCCACCCCCCCTGCCATGGGCAGGGACACCTCCCACCAGCCCAGGTTGCTCCAAGCCCCGTCCAACCTGGCCTTGAACACCTCCAGGGATGGGGCAGCCACAGCTTCTCGGGGCAACCTGCGCCAGGGGCTCACCACCTTCATAGTTAAGAATTTCTTCCTATTATCTAATCTAAATCTCCCCTCTTTCAGTTTAAAACTGTTCCCCCTCATCCTATCACTCCACTGCCTGATCAAGAGTCCCTCCCCAGCTTTCCTGGAGCCCCTTTAGGTATTGGAAGGGGCTATAAGGTCTCCCCGGAGCCTTCTGTTCTCCAGGCTGAACAACCCCAACTCTCTCAACCTGTCTTCACAGCAGAGGTGCTCCATCCCTCTGATCATCTTCATGTCCACCTCTGGACCCGCTCCAACAGGTCCATGTCCTTCTTCTGTTGGGGGCCTCAGAGCTGGACACAGTACTCCAGGTGGGGTCTCACCAGAGTGGAGTAGAGGGGGAGAATCACCTCCCTTGAAATGAATCTCACATTGCAGACACTCAAGTATTCATGACTCTAGAGGGAGCCTGTACCATGAACCTAGATTCAAAACTGAACTCTGGGACAACTGAGCTTCTCTCTGCCTCAGTTTACCCATCTGTAAAATGGGCATGGCAACAATGCAAGATACTGACCAAATAAAATATAAACATTGCTTTCCTGATAAATGCTATTAAAACAGCCAACACTGATCTCGTCCAGCTAATTGAAAAAGATGCAAACATAGTACACGGGATTCTTGATGCAGCTAACCAGATGCGCATAAAGTGTAAAAATAGGAAACCTCAGTGTGATACACTTTTCCTTCATTACAGAAATAGCCACGTAAGTGTTTTGGGGTGCACAGTTACCAGCCTGTCAGTTACTGCTGGTCAGAGCTAGATGCCAAAGGTCCCATTAGTGTAGCACTAAGCTGAACACTAGACGCTGGAATTGGATCTCCTGACCTTACCATCAGAAGCGGTAATGTAATATTTTCTTCAGAGATACCTGTTTGTGGGAAGGCAGCTTCTTACCGTTTTCTATTCCGTGAATCAACACTTGCTTCAGAACATAAACAGCAGAGTCCAAAAATCAAACTGATCTTTGTCATTCCCATCGAATAGGTGCTTGGCTGGATGTTAAAGACTTCCAAATACCTTAGAAACTGCCACAATGCTAAGTGTGACACTTGCCTCATTTTTTCCCCATTTTAGCTCAATAGGATCAGAGTGCCCAACCAAGTTTAGATAACACAGCAGTTATAAACCTGTATTTAAACATTTCTTTTTACCACTGAGTAATCCCAACTTGGAGGTGGTGGTAGGAGAAAAGCAGTATTATCCTTCCCAAATGGTGGCTAGAGTTGGTGACCTGTTCACATGCAAACCGGAACTGCAGCAGAACCAGAAAGCACACGTGGTTCTCTGCCTTTAATGAAGCAGCTTTTGCCTAGGAAATGCAATGCTATCAAAATAAAGCATCATAAAATTAGGCAACTTCATCAAAATTTCATTTCAGATCCGATCTCAACTACACTGCACCTGCTGCTACTGCTCTGTCAGTGGAAACCCTTGTTTAGATCAGATGTGCCAGCTGAAGGACTTCTCCAGCCTGCATGTTGTATCAGTCTCCCCAGTTAAGGCTAATTAAGACAAAGGTCCCCTCTTTCAGCATAACTACCATTGATTCACAAGGTCTTCCCAACTTTGTCATGTCAGAGAGGATGAGAGAGGAAACAGCTTTGTTGGTCTCCACAAAAGGAAGGAAAATACATTTCCCCTTTTTCTTGCAGGTTGTTTTTTTTAAAAAAAATATTTTTCTTTAATGCAAACAGCTTAAGAAGCTAAAATCAAAGTAAGATGTTTCAAGTTTGGTGAACACTCGACTGTCCCTGAAATGCTTCATGTGCTTGTGTGTAGATGTTCCTTCACAGATGTTTTTTGCTTTCTAGAATGGAAACGCTCTGCCAAAAATGTTCAGGGCACCTATCTGCTTCCCTATCACAGCCAGCATACCCACAAGCTACTCTCACATCTCTGTAGACTCAAGACCTAAGGAAGGAATGGAATGCTTGCTGACCCTCCCCTCCAAATCCTCAGCAAAGAGAGAGAGGGAGACATAACTGACCCTTATTTGCTAGAAAAGGTATTATCCCCACAGCAAGAATTTATAAATGCCCCTCAAAGAAACTAATGCTTTTGGAAAATGGAGGTCAGCATGTAGAAGGAGCGCCCACACCGCTCTGTGCAATGAAGTAAGGCAACTGCAACATATGCAACTCACACAATGTTTTTTGAGCACCTCCTGATGAGAACACGCATGTCCCTTACCATGTGTTTTATTCAGTTACCAGTTCGTGTTCATTCCAGCACAAAATGAGAATGGTGCAGAGAAGACATATGTTTATGCTGTGCTCTTTCCCCAGGACTCTTCTCCTCCCTCTGTTTTGGTCTCTCTGTAACATCTCATAACACTAGCATTCAGGCTGTCGGCCTTTTGTGGCAGACATCAAACCTTTTGCCGTCTTTGGACAACAAACTTACCATGGCAGTACCTAAAATAACAGTGCTAACGCGGGACTACCTGCTTGCTGGGGAAGACACAACACCAAGGCCAAATAAAAGTGAAGCTTACTGGTTACAGTGAATTGGGTAGAAGTCCTGCTTTCATCAGCCAGGAAGGCAATCTCACCAGCATCTTCCATCTTACACTCTCGGATGATCATGGTATGTTGCTTGCCAGAGCACGTGATGGATATTCGATCACTGGGTTTCACTTCTTCTTTATTTTTCAGCCATCGGATGTTCTGGCATTCGTTGTCCAGCTCCACACAGAAGATGGCTGTATCATTTATGAAGACCGCAGTCTTTCGTGGAAGTTTTTTAATGATGTTCCCTTTAAATTAGAAGGTAATTATGATCAGCAAGCAGCAGATAGTAAAGTCTCTGGCAATACTGGGCCATCCAGACTACAACAGGACTCGCCAACAGCTCTCACCTAATCAAAACATTGTAGAAACTATGCAGACATCCCTAAATTAATTCCTAGGCTCTGAGTTATACAGAACAGATAATCCCAAGGACTCATTTTGGCCTTCAAAGAGAGAAAAGCAATCTTTGACTACAGTCGCTCATGTTTCTAGCCTAACATGCAGAGTCTGCTATTGGGTAAACACATGGTACATGGCCAAGAACAGGTTTGATAGTGATACGGCTTTCATTGCCTACACATGGTAGGAATTCAAATTAAAACTTTGCTAAAGTAGGGCAGTCTTAAACCAGACAGGTCCTCATCTGTCTTTGGGATTTCGCCTCCATCAAATGACCAGTAGGTCACATAAATAAGGCAGCAAACACACCAGTCATTGAATTAATAGAAAATACACTGAAAACCTCAGATTTCTTTTTACAGTCAACGCAGAAATTCACAAACAATAAACTTCACTTACTTGCAGCCTCTCCAAGTAACTGTGATGATTATGACTTATTAGAATAACCTCAAAGTTACAAGATGTGACTATTCTCAGGAAAGCTTGGACAGAGCATCAGGAGACCATCCCCGTTGACAGATGGCTCCAGCCCTGGAACAGTCCCTGCAAGGCAAAAGTGCCCTCACCGAGGCAAAGCATCCAGAGCTATTTAATGAGAAGCAATGCTGAACTCTTTCATTAAACAGTAGATCAGGCACACGTTTCATCAGCAGGATTCAAGATCCCGATTCTCTGCTCATCCTCTCTGAAGCTTGGCCGTGTGTCTGCTTCTCACTGCCCTCAGCGGTGTCCCCGTCCCTGCAGCCCTTTGTGTCCTGCCAAGCCCTCACATTCTCCCAATCCCACCCTGCTCTCTCGAATCTTCTCTCCCTGGGGCAGGCACAGGGCTCCCCCAGGCACGCTCTGCCTCCTTTCCCTCCCGAGAGCTCCACCTGGCTCAGTCACTCTCTTTTTTAATGGAACATGCTGTAGTTCCATAGCACAAACAAGTAAAACAAATACCAGCTGTCCTACTGAGGCCAAACGCACATACAATGTTTGGCTGGTCCAGACCTAACAGAAGGTGCAACAAAAAGATGTCTATCTGAACTCTCCTGCGTCTCTGGACTAAATTTCTGCTTCTGCCTCCACCTATGTGCACTCTCAACTCTTTGCTAATGATACAGAAAGGAATGTGCACAAGGATGCATGTCACCCAGCTGTCTTGCACCAATTTACATTGCAAAGAACAACTTCTGTTTTCACTGGGAGTAAATTCAGGCTTCAAATGAGTCAGGACAAGTGCAATACTGTAGCTATGAAAGGTCTCCGATTCAAGCAACGGGAGACACGTCAATGATACCAGCATAAACCTCATCAAAATCAAAACTGCAGGTCCTGGAGCTGCATGAGTAGGTTCTTGTTCATACGGCAAGTCAGGGAGCTCCAAACCGATGGCCCCTTCTGAGGGCATGCCTGTGTGTCTGATGTGCCTGTCTACTGGCTGTGAGACACCTACAACACACCAGGATCTACACCTACTTGCACTTCAGTCCTAAACCACCCGACTCAGGAGGCTCGGACATGGATCTGTATCCACGTTTTGATCCTTTCTCATCAGCTTTCCAACCACCAGAGAACACATGCAGATACCAGAGATCCGGAGCACGGATCTGGTGCTGACCACAGCCTGCATCACACATCAGACCACAAACCACAACTGCTAAGCCAGCTTCCCGCTGTGGTCAGCACCACTCTCGGGCAAGATTCACCATTGCATTCGCCAGACATCAGACAACACCTGTGTGAGACAGTGCCAGCGGACACATCCAATGTGTGGGATCATGTTAAGGAAAGTCTACAACGTTAGGCTACAGCTCCAGGACTTCGACTTCTAGGAAGTCCCTTTAAGCATAAGGCCCCACCAGGTGACATCTCTTGTGCAGCAATGCAATCTGTCCCTGCTCTCTGACCTTGTGTCCCAGATACCCTGGCAAGAGGCCCAGGGACCCACTGACCCACCACACGTGGCTCTACTCTCACGCCATAAGGGAGTCTGCGGTTCTTCACTGCACACGTGCGTGGGGTAAATGCCATTCACAAGGTCGAGTCTGGAGCCCCACGCGTGAATCTCACAGTTTGTAGGCGAGACTTGGCTGATCTGGAATAGCAAAAGCCTTTCTTACCCTGGACAGACAACTCTGCGATGGTCCTGCTCCCTTCTTTCATCTCACAGATATAGACAGCATCATCATCTGCGGTGACATTCTGGACAGTGAGTCGGCGATACGTGCCTTCTTCTTCGATGTTGTATTTCTTGCTCTGCCGGAGTTTGGTTTCCTCCTTAAACCAAGCTGTTTCTGTACTAGGAACAGGCACTTCACATTGGAAGGTGGCGGATTCCTTCTCCCTCACTTCAAGATCCCTCAGTTTTTCCTTGAAGGGTATTGAGGGTTCTTAAGAGGATAAAAACAGAAAGGAGAAACAAGAGTTTATGACAGTCTGTGGTAAGAAGTGTGCAAATAGTCGATAGAAAAAAAGTTAAACAATAACACTCATAATTAAAGATATTGATTTGTCCTGAGCAGCCATCCAAACCCGTAATCACGCCCTACTACAGTACGTGTTCTGCTCTCACGCACAAAAACAATCTTAGATCCCAGCAGAAACATTTTAAGAACTTACCTAAAAACCACACGGTATCAGTCTGAACTGCAGTACCCGCCCCACCACACCACACGGAGAGGTTTGCTCTAATCCAAAGCAATGTGAACAAGTTGGTGACAAATTAATAAATTCTGCTCTCGTAGCCTGCTTGTCCTCTAGCATGAATATGTCTGCATTATACCCTGTCACTTAGCGATGCCAACAAGGTGAAGGGCAGAGCGCACCCAGCCTGGCTCGATACATGGCAACAGCCACTTCATCTCAGAGTAAAAGCCCTGAAAAATAATCACGCTACAGGTGGGTAAATAGCAAACAAGCTGGCGGTAGGGAGAGAGCACAGGGCAGCAATCATAGATGAGCATGAGCAGCTGAGGTGGTCAGCTGGTGCAATAACCAGCATTTTTGGGGTCTTGCAGCAGAAGTGAGCTCAGCGGAGTGGTCTGAAAGGCCACAGAAAGATGAAGGGTGGCTGTGCACACAAGGACAGGCGTGAGGGAAAGCAGAGAAGTAACTGATGGAGGAGTTTTCTGTTCTCCCCACCCGCTCTAAAGGCTTTGTGTCAGCTTTTTTTTCGATGACAACGGAAGAAGGGAGAAAGAGCCCAAGTCTCTCAACTCTCTGCTTCCCTCCAGCAACGGGGCTGCAGCGCTCCAGCTTAGAGAGAAACCACAGTATAGATCAAACATGCAAAACAGCTGTGTGGAAGTGAGGTAAGACATTTCACTAAGAGAACAATGTTTAAATCCAGTGACAGCTGCGCTGTGAAATCATCCTGATACCCCAGCACTAAACTGGAAAAAGGGTAGTTGGACTGAAGAGGACAGCCGGTGGTCACAGCCATGGGACTGGTGCCACAGTCATGTCATAGACTTGGATTAGACAGTGCTGATGCATCACCACTCATGACAGATCACGTCTTGACATGTGCCTTCATCTTCTAGTAACTACCGCGCCACCTCCCAGCCTTTTCTTGTGACTCCGCTCTCCCTCTCCCTGACCACACACACACACACTTCCCAGCTGGTAATTTCACGTGGTCACTAACAGTCACCAGTGCCAGAGGTTAGTCCAAGAGTCAAACAGGAGTGGACTTCTCTTAGACTTATGAGCCCATGCCCATAGGGCAAGTCCCACTCAGAGTCGTGGTGCTGTAGAGGATGGAGAAAAACAAATCGAGGCCCTCAAACATCCCATATCCAAACCCAGGAGCCCTCATTTTGTAAAATTCAGATCTGGTAGTTCAGCATCTAACTGTGTCCACTACCTGCCCCACCATTAGGACAGGAGCTGCTACAGCAGCAGTGCTCTCTTTCATCTGGTTTGCTCTTTTCTGAACTCAAGCCCTAGAAGCTCATGCGTTCAGTTTTGCAGGTCTTTCATTTCACGCCACGTCACACAAACACTTCCAATCGTTCCTAGCTGAGCACAGCCTGGATAGAGACACCTGACCCTCAGAGACAGGACAGCTGGAGGGAGAGATGCTATCTACTACCTTGGTTGTTGTCCTGAGGTTAAAACCTGACTGAGAGCAATACCTTTAGGAACAGGAAGGTGACTCTAGCTCACCATGCCAGCTCAGTTATTTTCTTTTAAAAAAAAAAAATAAAATGTTTTGCCTTAATGCATCTCAATTCAAGGCAAGTCAAAGTCTTCCCTTGAAAAGCCTTCAGCTATGGTTTAGATTGGAAATTAGGAAAAACTTCTTCACTGAAAGAGTTATCAAGCATTGGAACAGGCTGCCTGGGGAAGTGGTGGAGTCATGATCCCTGGAGGTTTTAAAAAGATGGGCAGATGTGGTGCTGAGGGACATGGTTTCATGGTGGTTTTGGCAGTGTGCACTTGATGGTTGGATTGAATGATCTTAAAGGTCCCTTCCAACCTAGACAATTCTATGATACTATGGTTACACAGACCTCCTCTGCCCACACTCCACATGTTAATTATTCTTTTTTCTTTAACCAACAGGCAACTCAGACTCCTGCCTTGTAATCCCATCTATCACCTCTGGAAGCACCCCATGTAGTCAGGGGGAATGATGCAGTTGTAATTCTCATGCCATGGGAGCAAGCAAGAGGATGAGATCAAGCAAACATTAATCAGAAGGATGCCGGCCTCTGGGAGCTGGATGCAGCATTGCGGTGTGAGACAGGAGGGAGCCTGGAGCTGACACCGAGAACACACGGACATGTCCAAGGGCCAAAAAGAAATACGAGATGCACCTGAGGAGCACACAAGTGCATTCCCATACTTGGAGCAACTGGCCATATCCTTAACCCCTCTCCCTTTACAGTCACTAAGCAGTATCTAAGGTAGAAAAAAAGAAAAGCTACTCTAGGAAAAAATGCTTAAATATGCAAACAGAGAAGCGTTGGTTGATTCTCGTATGTGTTGCAGCAACAGCAGTGCTTTTCCAGCCACAGAAAGTAGGTGCAAGGCTATCTTTGGCAGCTTGGGGTCACAGATATCCTCTGAAAACAACTTTGCTTTCGTCCTACTGACATGTGCACACACATCTTATCTCACTCTGAACAGGGCTTCAGAGAGACAGCAGCTGCTAAACTGAATCAAAGCCTGGGATTCACATAGACTACAGCTTATTTTTGGAGACATGAGAGGGGCTCCGAAACCCACCAGTCTCCTCTTCCTGAATATATCTTCATGCTCTTTATACATTGTCTAGCATGTACCTGGTCAGACAGAGGGGGTGGATAATGTCCTGGTTCCGGCAGGGATGGGGTTAATCTCCCCCGGAGCCGGCAGGGGGCAGGTATTCCATACCACGTGACCCATGCCCGAGCTATAAGAAGAGCTAGCCGGGCGAGGAGAGCAGTCGCCACTCGGGGGTGGGCTGCGGTGGTGTGGGTCCGGTCGGTGCGCTTCGCGGCGGTACTGTAATCGCGTTTTCGTCTTTTCTTTTGCTGTTCTGTTAAATTGCACTCTTTTAACCCACGAGTTTGGCCCTGTCATTTTTCTTTTTTCCACGACTGTGGGAGTTGTGCGAGTGGCTGCGTGGTTCTTTGTTGCTGGCTGAGGCCAAACCACGACAGTTGTGGTCAGAGGACTACAGAAGGACCACAGGGCTCTTGTGAGTAGGCATCCCAAATATTTCATTTGGCCCATACCGAGCCGCCTGCCCGGGCAAGAGATGCTCAGAGAGGTGGCCAGGAGGGAACCATGTCTCCAGCTGATCAACAGGCAACCCAGATCACAAGGAAAGACCTGTGAAAGGCAGGTGGTTCATCTTCCTTGTCAATAATCGACACAGGCAGAGTGTATAGCCATGTAATTTTTACATGAAGGAGAGCTATTCTCAGGAAGGAAGCACTAAGCTTTAGACCAGCCTTTCAGTGTATTTTAACTAGCTACGTGTGAAAACAAATACATACACTTATTCTCCCACAGGCCAGCACAGGGCGTTGAGCGGAGACCTCCGTTTCATCCCACATCGGCCTGCAGTCTGTCAGATTTTGACATTTACATTGCAAATTCTCTAAAGTAGGGATCTTCTCTTAACTATTTGTACAGCACCTAGCACAATTCAGAAATATTCTTTGCTGTAACTACTATAGGCACATCGGGAAGAGCTGCTGCAGATAACTATATTTGATCTGTCAGACTCTATAAATATTGACTGCTTATTTCTAAAAGCCCGTTTGTTCTGTATCACCCTTTCACAAGGTAATTCTCAACGTAAGCTCATGTTAAGTATGACTCTAGTGTGGAAGATAAAGCCATTTAGCTATCTACCATTTTCCTTATTATCCAAAATGCTCATAATATCTGAAACATCCTTGTAAGATCCCTTGTAAGTCCTCCTCCAAACTGGGAGGGGTGGTTGACTCTCCAGAGGGCTGTGCTGCCATCCAGCGGGACCTGGAGAGGCTGGAGAGCTGGGCAGAGAGGAACCTCATGAGGATCAACAAAAGCAAGTGCAGGGTCCTGCACCTGGGGAGGAAGAATGCTGGGCACCAGTATAGGTTAGGGGTGGACCTGCTGGGAAGTAGCTCTGAGGAGAAGGATCTGGGGGTCCTGGTAGATAGTAAATTGTCAATGAGCCAGCAGTGTGCCCTTGCTGCCAAAAAGGCCAATGGAATCCTGGGCTGCATAGGGAAGAGTGTGGCCAGTAGGTCGAGGGAGGTCATTCTCCCCCTCTACTCGGCACTGGTGAGGCCACAACTGGAATACTGTGTCCAGTTTTGGGGTCCCCAGTTCAAGAGGGACAGGGAACTGCTGGAGAGAGTCCAGTGAAGGGCAACCAAGATGACTGAGGGATTGGAGCATCTCCCTTATGCGGAAAGCATGAGAGAGCTGGGACTCTTTAGCCTGGAGAAGAGAAGGCTGAGGGGAGACCTTATTACTACTTACAAATATCTAAAGGGTGGGTTGAAGGAGGATGGAGCCACACTCTTCTCGGTGGTTCCCAGTGACAGGACGAGGGGCAATGGGTGCAAGTTGGAACATAGGAAGTTCCGTTCCAACACACGGAAAAACTTCTGTACAGTGTGGGTGACAGCACTGGCACAGGCTGCCCAGGGAGGTTGTGGAGTCCCCTTCTCTGGAGATTTTCAAAACCCGCCTGGATGCAGTCCTGAGTAATGTGCTCTGGGCAATCCTGCTTTAGCAGGGGAGTTGGACTAGATGATCTCTAGAGGTCCCTTCCAACTCTGAAAATTCTGTGATTCTGTGAAGATAAGCAAAAAGTGCGTTCAGCTGAGGTTACATGTGACATCATTCCCACAGGAACCCTCTGTTTAAGATAAGAAGTACAACCAACTCCTGTCTCTAGTTC